TCAAATTTTGCTCCATATGCTTCCCACGGTGCCTTTCTTCGTACTAGATCACCCTTATTGCTGACATTCATATCTGGGATGTGACTTCTAACAGGACTGAAGTTGTCTGCATTAGGGTTTAGCTGCGGGGTATGGAAGGGGCTTGTCATTGTCTGGGGCTGATTAAGTCGATGGTTAATGTATCCTCCTTGTGTAAAAGACAATAAATCATCCTTTAATGTATTCAATTCGCTTTTAAATTTACTAATGTTTTCCGTTTGTACTTCTTGTTTCCTTTCTTGTTCGAGTTGCCACTGCTGTAGTCTCTCCTCTTGTTTATGTTCTTTCTCCTCCAATAGCTGTTGTAATCTCTCTTCTTGTTTATTTTGCTGTTCGAGCTGCCACTGTTGCAAGTTTTCTTGCAACTGTTGTTGTCTCTCTTCTTGTTTCTTTTCTTTTTCCTCCAACAACTGCTGTAATCTCTCTTCTTGTTTATTTTGCTGTTCGAGCTGCCATTGTTGCAGGTTTTCTTGCAACTGCTGTTGTCTCTCTTCTTGTTTATTTTCTCGTTCTTCTTGTCTCTTATGCTGCTCTTGTATTGCTGCCATCAAATCTGCTAAGCTGTAGTTTGATTTGCCGCTTCTCATTTCCATTATTTTTTTTTGTCCCACTCTCTGACACCAATTTGTTACGCCTCCATTCGTTAATTTATTTTCTGTAAAAATCCTTTCCTAAGAAACTTAAGCAATACAACTCCTTTCTTAAATAAAACTGGTTTATTCTTTCTGAATACAACTTTGCAATACACTTAATTTCCACAGTCACGCTATAACAAACGCTATAATTCACAACAAACGTCTCACGTGCTCGACTCAACTGTCAATTACGCATATTGTTGCCGTCACTTCTTGGCGGCTTATATATACAAGATTATCGCATATCTAGTAGCCTCTCGAGACTTCAGGAAGGGACAGGATCCTTCTAGAAGTTCATGACATGTTACTAGCATCACGTGACCCCCGCTGTCATAACACTATATTATGGGTAGCTTATTCTTATGAGACAATGGATAGTATAGTGTTTGCCTAACATAAGTCGCAAGTTAAGTACTGTCCAACGTTACGTCTTTGAAATGTGTGCCTTAATTATTAGATTCTGCAAAAAATTAGTTATAATTCTAAACAATTAAGTCACTTGAATCCAATTTCATGATTCATGTGATGTATACCTGTAACTAGATGTAACACAAGTAACATACACATGAAGCTAAAGAATGAGAAAATCTGAAAATACACGAAGAAAAAGAATTATTTGGTCAGCATTTTAGGCACTAAAGATGTATATGTTAAAAACAAATATAAAAATGTTTAAACATACCCTGGTAACATTTGAATAACTTATGTGTTTTATCAAGCATGGAATTGTGTATTTTTTATTTAGAAATCTGAAGACCCAGAAATGGAAAAATTTGCTTAAAGTTGAAATTTCAACAGTTTACCATATTAATTGCAAGTGGACAACCAATCTTTGTCTGTCTATAGAACAATAAAGATGCAGACTGATGAAGTGAAATATGTTCAAAGGTGAGTGAGTTTATTTTGAAATTGACAGTGAAAAAAAGTTTAACTTGTACAATGCTATGTTAATCTTATTGTGTGTACATCAATATTTTATATGGTTATTACCAATTTAAGTAGAATATTTATAAAATGCTTTGATAATGAATCTTGCAGTTAGTTTTGAAATTGAATTTTATAATATATTGAATGTCTAGATGTCATAATTATTAGCTGAATAATAACAATGGAATCATGTTATGAGTATTATGAAGTCTGCATATGACAGTTCTACCATGGTTGACTAAGTAGTCCAGTTTAGAGTACTTTATTGTATTACTTCTTTGATTAAATTTTAAATACATGTAGTTCTCTTTGTTTTTCATGCATAATGATAGTTATCATTCTAATAACTCTGTCTTGCCTTTACTAAATGTTTCAAGACTATTGATTACCAAAATACCCTGTAAGACTTTTGAACTCTGTATCACCTCAGCACTGGAAGTGTGTTGTATTTTTTTCTTTACATAATTTATTTGAACTTTTTTGAATTGTGTGTATATTTATTATTATTGATCTTTAAGTATTTTAATATGCTGTAACAGCTTTTAGCTTTGATAGCTAATAGACACAAATGTAATATATGAATGTGTAAGTCTAATGTTTACAACCATCAAACATGTATGAGCAACAAAGGATAGTAAACAAGGAAATCTTCATACTTGAAAGGTATATGCAGGGCCAAAACCAAGTGAATTTCACAAAACAAAAAAGCTGAGAAATTTACATGAGTAGTAGAATCTTCACAAAAAATTTTAATTGTATAAAAAAATAGTGGATATCTAAAAAGAAATATAGAAGAAAGGAGGATATGTTTACGAGCATTACTGAAGTAAATCAGATTATCTTTTTTCTGAAATGATATTATGATACCACTGTATACTGCTGTACTGTGCTTGGTACTTTTTAATAAGGCATAAATAACTCAAAAGGCTTTGACAAATTTCAGGTATATTCTTGTTCAAGAAAACCTGGATTAGACCTTAACTTGTAAAGTGCAAATAAATATTGATGCTTGGTAACAACACTCACAGCTATGTGGGTAAGTTAGTAGCATAATTGATTTTGATTGGAAAGTAGCAATTATCCCTAAATTGAGTGATTCACTGTTTCATTTAATTTTATAGACGAGTGAGACCTGGTCCTCTTGATGTTCATCCCACAGAAAAGGCTTTGGTGGTCAACTATGAATTGGAAGCCACAGTGGTAGGTGAACTAGGGGACACCATGCTGGAAGAGACGAAAGAGTGCCAGAAAATGTAAGTTTTCAGGATTTAAACCAAAATACATGTATGTGTAACTTGTAAACAATTTTATGAAAAATCTCAAAGGAAGTAAAAAATATGAGAAATCTTATTTTGATAATATTATATAATCATACC